ATTTAATTTCCCGAGCTTCTGTCCATCAGTAATGGTTTGCGAGGTTCAGGCAAAGTATATTCGACCACGAAACCGTAAATTAGTGATTCTCTGAAAAAATATTTTAGAATAAGATATTGTTCATGTCTTGTGATCTATTTCCATGCGTTAATGCGATTATGATTGCATAGTTTGACAAAAAAAAAGAAAAAGAAAAAAAAAGATGAAAAAAATATCGGTTTATGTGTACGTGTCTGAGAGCGAAAGTCTACCTTCGTTTTTTTCTCTCTTTCATTCTTTTTTTGTGTTTATATGTTGGTATGTTCATACATGTTTGCAAGTGCATGTGTTAGTGCCATATGTATGTGTCCATATGCACGTATGCTGGCGATTGGGGGTGAGTGTATACAGCCGAAAGGAGAGAACACATATGCTGGCGATTGGGGGTGAGTGTATACAGCCGAAAGGAGAGAACACATATGCTGGCGATTGGGGGTTAGTGTATACAGCCTGTAGGAGAGAACACAATAAGAGAGAACAGGAGAAGCAGCGAAAGCACGAAGACTAACACAAAGTCCTCCTCAGCTCGAGCAACTGCCTACGATGGGCAAGGCGAAGATGACGGAGCTGCTGCAGAGCGGGAGGGACAAGATCCCGAAGCGCGTGTAACGATCAGCTGCAGAGACATGAAACAACACGCTGTTCCTTCAACCACCGAGGGAAGGTGTCAGTAGTTAGTCGGAGGGTGTCGATTTGTAGCTGCGGATGGGTGTGTTGTCGGTATATGATTTGGAGGGTCAAGTGTAATTGTGTTCGGTGTAGGTGGATGTTTGATTGCGAGAGAAGTTGTTGGCAGGGGGAGGAATGCGGTTTAAAACGGGAGGTCTAGTGTTGTGGTGTGGGTGGGTGGGATGGGAGTTGTATGGGGGTGGGGCAGTGTAAGGCTAGGTGTCTGGGGATTGACGTGGCGCAAGGATGGTGAGTTGGCTAGGCTGTGGTGGGTTTAGATTACGTTGTATGGGTTTTGTGCGGTTGGTCGATGAAGAGAAATGTACTAGCTGATGTTACAGGTTCCTCGAGATGTGTGGTGCGATGGTGCATATCTGGCTTACAGCGTGAGTTAGAGGTCTGTATTTCTGGGTGCGAGGTTAATTCACTGGATTTGCGATGGTAGTTGGCGGGTAGTAGATAGATTAGGGAGAGCGTGTTAATATGGGGCGTCGATGAGAGTTGATTCTGAGCGCGTGTGTGCGGTAGCACGATGGTGATAGGTTGAGACAGACGATAGGCAAGTTCGTATATTCAGGCTGTTGTGAAGTAGGTTAGTAGTGTCTTGCGTGTAGTAAGTTTTGCAGTTTGTTGATTTGCGATAGCTGAGTGTTGTGAGATATGTGGGATGTTGGATTAATACACTATGGTATCGGAATAATATTGTGCTCTTTCGTAGTATGATTGATGGCGTTTACGTAGGGAGGTGATGTGGGGGTGTATTGGTGTGAGGTGGAAGATAGGCGTACGGCGGAGGCCGTTTCGGGTATGAGACTAGTACGAAGGTTGTGGCGAGGGTTGGCCTCGAGTTTCATCTAGACTGGATGAGTGAGTGAGACGGAGAGGCGGTGTGGGTGGAGGCGTGAACGTCGCGTAAGCGTATGTGATAGAAGGGATCTATGTATAGGCGGTGAGGGTATGCATTTGATATAGCTATGTGTTGTGTATTTGAGATGAGTTCGTGTGAGAGTGATGATGGTTAGAGTAAGAAGATGGATATTAGGGGGGGGTGTGAGCGAAGAGTATAGTAGCGAGTGTCTGCAGGATATCAGAGATGTTGCTGTGAGTGCCATACTTAATTAACTGAATATATAGCACGCTCGCTCTCATGAGGTATCGTAGATTGTGAACGGTATTCAAAGCCACATCCTTTAAAGCAGAACTCTACACTAGACCCTTCAAACCGGATCTATCCGGGTCTTCCCACCTCCTTCCCACTCAAGTGCATTAAGAACGTCTTCGCTGAGATGGCGAGTGAATAGCCATGGCGGAGGGCGGCACCGCAGTATCGACAGTGGAGGCCGTAGACGCAGGGTACGCCGTGTGTACAGGCTTTACAGCAATAGGACCATGCACCAGGTTAGTATGGTGTATGGATCCGCGGGTAGATCCTGCGTTCATAGGTCGAGCTGGCCGGTTAAGCGACGCTTTTGACGATAGTCACTCGGTGGCGTGCTCGTGAGCGCCAATACTCGCTTGGTGCCCGTGGGACAACTGTGTTGGATGGCTGCTTGGCCCAGAATGCAATGATCATTTGAGGATCAATCTACTGTAGTAAGCGATGGTTTGTCAGAGAACGTAGTATAGTTAATAGATACTTATTAACATCCACGACAGGTCAAGGTGAGGACCCTCAGAATACACTCGGAAATAATTACAGTACAGCAGAAGCGAACGCCTCCCAGCCACGCTCATAAGAAAAAGAAATGAGCTTTTGACGGAAGGACGATGGCCTCTCCCATTATTTCTCTTGCATAATAGTATATGATGTTCTTCCTTCCCTCTTCTTCCCAGGACAACCGCCGACCAGCTGCAATCTACAGAGGATGTTGGGAAACAAGAATATGTGGACGAAGGGTAACGTGACCGAGATGGGAACACTGGGTTTCTCTCGCTCCCACCGAAGGGCGATCGAGATGGTGAACGAACCGCACGGTTCTCTAACAGATGAGGTTGTGGAAGTTGCTTCGGTCCCTCATGGACGGGATACTGCGGTGGTGGTGTGAGTTGTGGTGCTGATAAGGCGTTGGGTGTTGGTTGAAGTGGTGTGTCTGTATTGGGTTGGTGGTGGTCGGGAGTGGCTGTGGGTGTGTGTATGTGTATCTGTTGGGGTGTGGTGTGAGTGATGGTTAGATGTTCTTGTGTGTGGTGTTTGAGGATAGCTAAGTGTTTATGCGGATAATAATTCTAAGGTGACAGATCATATCTCTATTACGACTGTCAGAGGTCAAGGGTAATGCGTGGAAGAGGGAGTGGAGCTAGAGAGTTACATGCGAATACCTGAACGTTCTCTATGAGGCCAGACGCAATGTCATGTGATTCCGAAGATTTTAAAATTCGCATGAATGTATTACTCCTTTTGCCGTCATGTCCCTGTCTGGCCTCGACCGCTTCGCGGACTCTCGGCTGTGTGGGGGGAGGGTGGGGTGGGGCGACAGGTTACTGCGCAACCTCGTAGCTGAGACCTGCCACTGTGGTGCTGGTTGCTTTCGTTTATTGCTGTTTCCCATCCTCCATGATCTCCACTTCTGCCCTAATGGTCCTGCTGCCTGGCTGACTCTCTGTAGTTCTCTTTGTCGTATTGTCGACTTGGTCCTCATCTATTCTGGTCGCACCTTACCCTCTCATCTTCCTGGTTGGTCCTCCATTTCTCACCTGCGGTCCCGAGGTTGCGAGGGGTCTGTGGTGTGGGTGTCTAGGATTTGTAATGTAGGGTCAGCGTCGCTCATTTCCTGCCTCTCCGTTCCTGCCTCTCGCTTTGACCATCTCCTTCTGCCGTCGATGTTGCGCCGTGTCGGTGATATTTCCCGCTTCCCTGCCGATAGGCTCTCGGTGGTGCTCTTCTCTTCCTCCAGTGTCCCCTCTTCACGTGCCTCCTTATCTGCCCTTGTCATTTGACCCTGCGTCGCAAACGTCCCCACCTCCGGTGCGTTGGCCTGCGTCTGCACCTTTACTTTCCTCCTCCCTCCCTCCCCAGTCGCTGCTGCCGCTCACCCCCGTCCTCCTTCTCTCGTCACTCCCGCGGCGGTCATCTGCTCGTCCTATCCGTTGGTGGTTGTCCCGGCCGCCTCTCATGTCGTCCCATGGGGACAGATCTCTTCCCGAGATGCTCGCCTTGTCGCTTGTATCTCTATAGTGCTCTGTTCATTCTCTGTGTACCCAGATGGCCAGCTGACTATCGATAAAGAAAGCCGTTTTAGAGCCAAGTCAGCCCACACAACGCGACCGCCTCTCAGCCCTACCTCCTCCACTTCCCCCTATCCCCTCCTCCGATTTTCCCTCCTCCGACTCCTCCCAACCAAGGATCCCGCCTCACTGGCGTCAGATGCCTGCCAACCCAGACCACCCCCTCCCTCTCCCCCTTCTCTCCCCCCACCCCTCTCCGAGTGGAGCGGATCCTCCAGACGTGTCACGGATGAAGTCCGCCGACGCCAGGCTTCATAAACGCGAAGACGGTCTGTCGCTCCGGAGATGGGTTGAGCTTGTGTAAGTGAATCCTGAGAAGTGCAGCGGGGCTCATCGGCGCTCAAAGAATACAGCGGCCGCACAACGTATGTGACTGGGTCTTTGCGGGTCAGGCCCAAGGTGGGAGCGGTCCGCCCAAATGGATGTCAACGCGACATGGGCGGTGTCGTCCGAGAAAGACGTACTCGCAAGCGCAGAATGATAGGCGCCGAAGATAAAGCGCGCGCAGGACAATGAGCGGCCAAACTAGGAGCCGGAGATCAGTATGGGTGCTAGCGGTAATTCTGGATGCGACACTGTGATGGGTGTGTGTGAAGGAAATGTAGGCGGGTGCGTTGGAGAGCAGAGAGGATGGAGGGGGATTGTTGTGGGCGTGTGAGCATTGAGGCATACGGATGAGTTCGATCAGGTGCGAGGGCGGCACAGCGTCTGTAGTGGGGCGAATTGGATGATCGAGGGCTGAGGGGGCTGGCAGGTCTGGAATAAGGGAGAGTGGGTACTGGCTTGAATAGGGGTAAGGTGGGAGTATCGGGTTGCTTGGCTAAGCGCTACGGTCTGTGCTGCGTTTCTGGTGGGCTATGTTCATCTCGTTTATGTGTAATTTTATACTCATAGTTGATAGATCTGATGTACATGAGATGTCGTAGGGGTAATATTCCGTCTCAGTATTTCTTTGCTCTCACCAGTTGTACTCGTCTCCTAGTCTCTTTTGTTCTTCTCTTTTCGTGCTCGTTCCACTCTATCATCGTATAGCTGTTCATATGCACACTCGTCGTCGAGCTGGTACGGAATTCTCTTCTCTCCGTCATCGACTCTCTCTCGGGATGGGTAGCAGTCCTCTCGTATCAGTCGTCTTGCTACTCGTGTCATATTCGAATCTATTGGCTAGAGATCGACCAGGCTTCGGGGGTCGGGTGTGATGCGCTTGATGGACTTGCTCATGCGCAGGTACTGTGTTGGATGTGTTGAGATATATGCATGGGGAGTTATGTGGGTGTGGACGTGGATAAGTTAGGGGGTAGAAGATTGATTGAAGGGTGGACTAGTCATGTTGAGAAGATTAATATGTGGTGTTTAGGGCTGCAGGATCTGGAGTGTAACGTTTATGATCTGACGTAGTATATTGAGGGTTGTTACAGTGGGGGCCCGCCTGCATTCTGCAGTTGCTCTCTCTCTCTTCTCTCTCTTCTATAATAAGTAATATATAATATACTATAATATATATTATATATATATATATATATATATTTTTTTATTCTGTTTCTTTCTCTCTTCTCTCTCTCTCTCTCTCTCTCCTCTCTCCTCTTTCTCTCTTTATCTTCTTTCTCTCTTCTCTTTCTCTTTTCTTTATATATATATATATATAGTATATATATATATAATATATATATATAATATATATATATATATATATATATATATATATATATAATATATATATATATATATATATATATATATATATATATATATATATATATATAGTATATATAATATATATATATATATATATATATATATATATATATATATATATATATATATATTATATATATATATCTATTATATATATATATTATATACTATCATCTATCTATCTATCTACCTATCTATCTATCTATCTATCTATCTATCTATCTATCTATCTATCTATCTATCTATCTAATTATCTATCTATCTATCTATCTATCTATCTATCTAATCTACTATCTTCTATTATTCCACTAGTACACTTATATTATTTGTTTATCTTGACTACGCTAGTTGCACATTGCATTTTTCCTAATAATCCAACGACATTGCATTGAATGCAAGTGGTTCCCAGCCGTTTTGCTGTAATCCTCCTCCCCTTTTGCTGTATCCCTCCTCCCTTTTTGCTGTATGCTGTATCCTCCTCCCTTTTTTGCCTGCTGTTCCTCCGTCCCTTTTTGCTGTATCCTCCTCCCTTTTTGCTGTATCCTCCTCCCTTTTTTGCTGTATTCCTCCCCCTTTGCGTATCCTCCTCCTTTTGCTGTTCCCGTGCTCCTAACACGTGCTAGCGAGTCCTGCCTTGCCCGCAGTTGAACGTCAAAGGCCAAGAGGGATGGATGGTGACCAAGGCGCTCGCAAAAGCAGAGAAGGTTATGGACAAGACGCCTGCCGAGGTGGGTTTATACTTTTGGATGTTTTATCTGTTGCTATTACTGATTCGCGGTTTTGATGGCTTTTGGTGAACTGATGACGTTGGTGGATGGTTTTAATACCCTTGGATCGAATATTACTTCATACTATATCATTGTTTTATACGTATTTTTTTTTTTTTTTTTTTTTTTTTTTTTTTTTGCTTCGCTTAGATTTACACTTTTTTTCAAGTTATCTTCAGTCATTCTACTTGAAAAACATATCAGACCCCCTCTCATTCTCCACCACCACCCCTACCATAGTTTTTTTAACCTGCCCCCTCCCACGCACCATCAGGCCCTTTAACCCTCCCTTCCGCCCTCCCTCGAACCCCCCTCCCCGTCCTCCCAACACCGTCCCCACCAGCCTCTAACCCTCACTCTCCCTCCCTCCCCCACACACCACCACCAGGCCCTCTAACACCTCCCCCTTCCGACCCTCCTCATCACCCCCTCCCTTCTCGCTTTCCCCTCTCCCCAACCAACCTACACTAGCCCCTCTAACCTCTCCCCTTCCTCGGACCCTCCTCAATATCAAACCCCTACCCCTCCCTCCCCTCCTCCCCCACCACCCTACCAAGCAGCCCTCTAACCGCTCCTCATATCCACACCCCTCCTCAGAACATCCCTACCCCTCCCTCCCTCCCCCTCCCATCCTTCTCCCCAACCACTCAGCCCTCTAACACTTCCCCTCCCCACCACACCTACCACCAGCCCTGCTAACCTCGGCCCCTTTCCGTCCCTCCTCAGAAAACCCGCCCTTCCCTCCCTCCCTCCTTCACCCTCACCTACAGCCTCTAACCCTCCCTCTTCCGCCCTCCTCATCACGCCCTCCCTGTCCTCCCTGCTCTCACCACCATCATCCCTACCACAGCCTCTACCCTCTTCCCTTCCTCACACCCCTGCATCAAACCCCTACCGCCTCCCATCCCTCCTCCCCCCACCACCCCCCACCAGCAAGCCCTCTAACCCTCCCCAATTCCGCCCCCTCCTCAGAACACCCCTACCCCCTCCCCTTCCTCCCTCTACCTCCTTCTCCCCCACTCACCAGCCCCTCTAACCCTCCCCCTCCCCACCTCCTAACCACCCAGCCCTCCCTAACCCTCCCCCTTCCGTCCTCCTGCAAGAACCCCCCCCTCCCCTCCCTCTCCCACCCACCACCAGACCTCCTAACCCTCCCCCCTTCGCCCCTACCTCATCACCGCCCCTCCCTCCTCCCTCTCTCCACCACCCTACCACCAGCCCTCTCTAACCCTCCCCTTCCTCAACCCTCCTCATCAACCCCTACCCTCCCTTCCCTCCTCCCCCCACCACCCCCACCACAAGCCCGCTCTAACCCTCCCCATTCCGACCTCCCTCCTCAGAACACCCTACCCCTCCCTCCCCTCCCTTTCCCTCCTTCTTCACCCACCACCACCCTCTAACCCCCCTCCGCACCACACCCCTACACCAGCCACTCTACGCCTCCCCTTCGCCGTCCCTCCTCAGAACCCCCCTCACCCTCCCTTCCCTGCTCCCACCCACACACCAGCCCTCTAACCCTCCCTTTACCGTTCCCTCCTCAGAACCTCCCTCCCTCTCCTCCCTCCTCGCCCCCACCTACAGCCCTCTTAACCCTCCCCTCCCGTCCCCTCCTCAGAACCCCCTCCCCATCCCTCCCCCTCCACCACCATCTGCCCTTCACCCTCCCCTTCCCGCCCCTTCCTCATCACCCCCGCCTCCCCCTACCCTCCTCCCTCTGCCCCCACAACCGAGCCATCTAAAACCCCCCTCCTCTCACCCTCCCTCATCACGCCCGTTAACCCCTTCCTCCCTCCCCTCCTATCTCTCCCCCACGCCCCCCACCACCCACACTTGACGGTGACCCACCACCACCAGCCCTACTCTACCCTCCCTCCTTCCATTCGCCCACCACCCTTATCAACCAAGCCCTCTAAGATCCCTCCCCCTTTCCCACCCTCCTCAATCCCGCAACTCGCCCCCTCCTCCCTCCTCCCCCACTCTACCAAAGCAACCACTCGTAACTCTCCCCCTGCGCCCACCCCCCCACCCCACAACCCCCCACCACCGCGACCAGCCCTCAACCCTCACCTTCCGCCCCTCCCACAGAACCCCCTTCCTTCCCCCCCCATCCAACGCCCCACCCGCGCACCACAACCCCGACTATTCCACCACTACCAGACCGAGCCCTCTACATCTCCCCTGCCTCGACCCAACGCCCCATCCACCAGCCACCCTCTAACCTGCCCACCTTCCTCACCTCCTCATCAACCCCACCCCTTACTCCCTCCTTCCTCCTCCCTCTCCCCCCCCACCCAGCCATCCCCTACACACCAGCCCCATAACCCCTCCCCTTCCTCACCTCTCCTATCACCCCTAACCGCATCCTCCTCCCTCTCCCCTAACCCCCTACCACCTTCCTGCCCTCCCTCCCCACATGACTATTCACCCACACCCACCACCCCTCTAACCCTCTCCTTCCCATCTCTCCTCCAGACCCCCTACCTCCTTCCTCACCCTCAGTCATCACCCCTCCCTCCCTCCCTCTTGTCTCCCCACCACCACTCCCCACCACCAGCCCTCTAAACCATCGCCCCTCCCCTCCCTCCCCACCAACCCTATCAAACCACCCTCTACCCGCCCTCCTCCCTCCTCTCCCATCCCTCTTCCCCCCTCTCCCTCCTCCGCCTCCTTCCCACCAGCGTACCCCACCCACCACCACCCGCCTCTAGACCCTCCCTTCCTCCCCTCCTCAGAAACCCCCTTCACGCGCCGCCTCTACACCCAGTACCCCTTAAACCCTCCCCCATTTCTTCCGTCTCTCCTAGACCAAGACCTGGATCGACGGCCTAGGCACCCTCAAGCCCTTCGTCACGCGCGGAGACGTGTCCGCCGCCGCCGCAGAGAACGCGGACGTGAAAGCGATCCTCCTGGCCAACGCGAAGGCCAAGGCGATGGACATGCCCGCTCGCGTAAGTCCTTCAGGGTGTGGGTCGTCCCGGGTGGGGGAGCGGGTAGTTGGCGAGTCGTGGATGGTCCCAAGTGGGTTGTTAGCGAGTCGTGGTGGTCCAAGTGGGTTGTTAGCGAGTCGTGGGTGGTCACAAGTGGGTTGTTAGCGAGTCGTGGGTGGTCACAAGTGGGTTGTTAGCGAGTCGTGGTGGTCACAGTGGTTGTTAGCGAGTCGTGGGTGGTCACAAGTGGGTTTGTTAGCGAGTCGTGGATGGTCCCTAAGTGGGTTGTTAGGGGAAATCGTGGATGGTTCCGAAGTGGTTTTGTTAGCGAGTCCCCCCGTGGATGGTCCAAACGTGGGTTGTAAGCGAGTCGTGGATGTGGATCCCCAAGTGGGGTTGTTTAGCAGAGTCGTGGGGCCGCAAGGTCTGTTAGCGAGTCGTGGGTGGTCCAATCATAGCGAGCGTCGTGGAAGTAGTGAATTGTTAGCGAGTCCGTTGGGTGGTCCCAAGTGGGTTGTTTAGCGAGTTCGTGGGTGTAGGGTGTTAGGATGTCCCAAGTGGGTTGTTAGCGAGTCGGGATGGTTCCCAAGTTGGTTGTTAGCGAGTCGGTGATGTCAAGTGGTTTGTTAGCGAGTCCGGGGGTGGTGCCCAAAGTGGGTTGTTTAGCAGAGTCCGTGGATGGTGCTCCGAAGTGGGTTGTTAGCGAGTCGTGATGGTCCAAGTGGTTGTTAGCGAGTCGTGAATGGTCCCAAGTGGGTTGTTAGCGAGTCCGTGATGGTCCAAGTGGGTTTGTTAGCGAGTCGTGGATGGTCCCAAGTGGGTTGTTAGCGAGTCATGGATGGTCCCAAGTGGGGTTGTTAGCGAGTCGTGGATGGTCCCAAGTGGGTTGTTAGCGAGTCGTGGATGGTCCCAAGTGGGTTGTTGTACTCCGTGTCCCAAGTGGGTTGTTAGCGAGTCGTGGATGGTCCCAAGTGGGTTGTTAGCGAGTCGTGGGTGGTCCCAAGTGGGTTGTTAAGCGAGTGTGGATGGTCCCAAGTGGGTTGTTAGCGAGTCGTGATGGTCCCAAGTGGGTTGTTTAGCGAGTTCGTGGATGGTCCCAAGTGGGTTTTGTTAGCGGGGTCGTGGATGGTCCCAAGGGGGGTTGTTAGCGAGTCGTGGATGGTCCAAGTGGGTTTTGTTAGCCGAGTCGTGGATGGTCCAAGTGGGTTGTTAGCGAGGAGTCGTGGATGGTCCAAGTGGGTTGTTTAGCGAGAGTCGTGGATGGTCCCAAGTGGGTTGTTTACGAGTCGGTGATGGTCCCAAGTGGGTTGTTAGCGAGTCGTGGATGGTCCAAGTGGGTTTTAGCGATGTCGTGGTGGTCCCCAAGTGGTTGTTAGCGAGTCGTGGATGGTCCCCAAGTGGGTTGTTAGCTGAGTCGTGGTGGTCCAAGTGGGTTGTTAGCGAGTCCGTGGATGGTCCCAAGTGGGTTTGTTAGCGAGTCGTGGGTGGTCCAAGTGGGTTGTTAGCGAGTCGTGGAGTCCAAGTGGTTGTTAGCGAAGTCGTGAATGGTCCCAAGTGGGATTGTTAGCGAGTCGTAGGGTGGTCCCAGTGGTTGTTAGCGAGTCGTGGATGGTCCCAAGTGGGTTGTTCGTGGTGGTCCCAAGTGGGTTTGTTTAGCCGAGTCGTGGTGGTCAAAGTGGGTGTTAGCGAGTCGTGGGTGGTCCCAAGTGGGTTGTTAGCGAGTGGGATGGTCCCAAGTGGGTTGTTAGCGAGTCCGTGGGTGGTCCAAGTGGGGTTGTTAGCTGAGTCGTGGGTGGGTCCAAGTGGGTTGGTTATCGTGGATTTGTGGGTTTGTTAGCGAGTCGTGGATGGTCCCAAGTGGGTTGTTAGCGGAGTCCGTGGATGGTCCCAAGTGGGTTGTTAGCGAAGTCGTGGATGGTCCCCAAAGTGGGTTGTTTAGCGAGTCGTGGGTGGTCCCAAGTGGGTTGTTAGCGAGTCGTGAATGGTCCCAAGTGGGTTGTAGCGAGTCCGTGGGGTGGTCCCAAGTGGTTGTTAGCGAGTCGTGGATGGTCCCCCCAAGTGGGTTTAGCGAGTCGTGGATGGTCCCAATGGGGTTGTTAGCGAGTCGTGGTGTTCTAAGTGGGTTGTTGTAGCGAGTCCGTGGATGGTCCCAAGTGGGTTGTTAGCGAGTCGTGGGTGGTCCCAAGTGGGTTGTTAGCGAGTCGTGGATTGGTCCCAAGTGGGTTGTTAGCGAGTCGTGGGTGGTCCCAAGTGGGTTGTTAGCGAGTCGTGGGTGGGTCCCAAGTGGGTTGTTTAGCTGAGTCCGTGTGGTCCAAGTGGGTTGTTAGCGAGTCGTGGATGTCCCAAAGTGGGTTTTAGCGAGTCGTCCCAAGTGGGTTGTTAGCGAGTCGTGGGTGGTCCCAAGTGGGTTGTTAGCGAGTCGTGGGTGGTTCCCAAGTGGGTTGTTAGCGAGTCGTGGTGGTCCCAAGTGGGTTGTTAGCAGTCGTGGTGGTCCAAGTGGGTTGTTAGCGAGTCGTGGGTGGTCCAGTGGGTTGTTTTAGCGAGTCGTGGATGGTGCCGCAAGTGGGTTGTTAGCGGTCGTGTGGTCCGGGTTGTTAGCGGAGTCGTGGATGGTCAAGTGGGTTGTTAGCGAGTCGTGGATCGTGGGTGTTCCCAAGTGGGTTGTTAGCGAGTCGTGGGTGGTCCCAAGTGGGTTGCGAGTCGTGGATGGTCCCAAGTGGGTTGTTAGCGAGTCGTGGATGGTCCCAAGTGGGTTGTTAGCGAGGTCGTGGATGTCCCAAGTGGGGTTTGTTAGCGAGTCGGGTCTCAAGTGGGTTGATCCCCAAGTGGGTTGTTAGTGTGGTGGTCCCAAGTGGGTTGTAGGAGTCGTGGAGGTTCCCAAGTGGGGTTGTTAGCGAGTCGTGGACCCCCAAGTGGGTTGTTAGCGAGTCGTGTGGTAAGTGGTGTTCGAAGGTCGGGAGCGAGTCGTGGATGATCCCAAGTTGGGTTGTTAGCAGTCGTGGGTGGTCCCAAGAGCGAGTCGTGGATGTCCAATGGAGTTCGTGGATGGAAGTGGGGTTGGCGTCGTGGATGGTCCCAAGTGGGTTTAGCGAGTTCGTGGATGGTCCCTCGCCAAGTGGGGTTGTTAGCGAGTCGTGAGGTCCCATGGTTGTTTCGTGGATGTCCCGAAGTGTGGGTTGTTATGGTATCGAGTCGTGAATGGTCCCAAGTGGGTTTGTGTGAGTCGTGGTGGTCCCAAGTGTCACACTTTGATGGTGTTGCGATGAGTGGGATGATCTCAAGAGAGTAGTCTGGAGGGGATGGAGGGGCAGTGCGGGTGATTGTGATGCTTGTAGGAGTATGTTTTTAAGTGTGCGTATATATATATATATATATATATATGTGTGTGTGTGTGTGTGTGTGTGTGTGTGTGTGTGTGTGTGTGTGTGTGTGTATACGTATAAAAATATATACGTAAATGTATATATACATATGTATATTATACATTTTTTCATTCATTCTTTATAAACAATTGTATTTCATTTGGGCAATAATTGACACTATTCCCTCCTTTTTCCAGGCGCTAAAGCAGACCTTGAGAGCTGAACTGAAGGGGAAGCCAGTCGCTAACATTACAGAGGCAGATATTGCCGCTATAGGTAAGAAGAAGAAAAGAAGGAAGCAGAGAGAGAGAGAGACAGTGACAGAGAGGGGGTGGGAGGGAAAAGAAAGAGGGATTGGGGGAGGGAGAAGGAAAGAAGAGAGAGAGAAGGGAGATAGAGGAAAAAGAGAGAGAAGAGAGAGAGTGAGGGGGAGAGGGAGGGAGATAGAAAGATAGAGGAAGAGAAAAAGAAAGAAGAGAGAGAGAGAGAAATAGGAAAAGAAGAGAGAGAGAGATGGGGAGAATACCGAAGAGGAAGAGAAAGAAAAATAGAAAGAGACAGAAGGTAAGGGGGAAGAGCCAGAAAAAGAATAACTTCACACCTGCAAACCAAATTAATAAAACACACGCGCCTATAATCAATACTCCAGCACTCAACTTAAGTCCACTCTAATCTCACATACCACCTACCACAGTGTAGGTTTAAGTTTAAGACCAAAATCCCAATAAGGTGTTCATTCTCCACTTCCTTTCCACTTTATTCTCTGACCTCTTCCTCTACGCGTCGCAGGAGGAGCTCTCCTGGTGCAGGCGCCGCCGAACGTGGTCCAGCAGCTGGCCAAGAAGGGCGTGCTGAAGGGCGACCAGCTCCAGCAGGCGGCGGAGGGTCTCTTCAGCGCCGAGGGACCGGGCTTCAGGGGCAAGGTGAGAGAGCCACAGTGCTATTGTTATTATTATTATTATCATCATTATTTTTGTTATTATTGTTATTTATTTATTTATTATTATCATTATCATTTTTGTTATTATTATTATTATCATTATCATTTTTGTTATTATTATTATTATTACTGTTATTATTATATTCATTATCATTTTTGTTATTATTATTATTATTACTGTTATTATTATCGTTATTGATATTATTATTATTATTATCATTATCATCATTATTATTATTATTATTATTATTATTAAAATTATTATTATTATTACTATTATCATCATTATCATTAGTGTCATTATTGTTAATTTATTATCATTATTAGGAGGATGACTTTAATGAAATTAATGATATTAGGGATAGTAATATTGATTTTTATGATAAGTAGTGTGATTATGATTAGTATTAGTAGTGGTAGCAGGAGTAATTTTAATTATGATTATGATTATTATTATTGTTGTTTTTGCTGTTGCTGTTCTTTTATCATTATTATTATTATTATTATCTTTTATTATTGTTATCATCATCATCATTATTATTATTATTATTATTATTATTATTATTATTATTATTATTATTATTATTATTATTATTCATACTGTTGTTATCATTATTATTCTTAATTGCAGTTACTTTTCATAATCATTGCATTTATCATTACCATTATTTTTATCACTAATATCATTATCATTATTAATATTATCATATCTAATCCATTATTACAGAATCATAAACACATCATAATTTTTTCCAATTCACCCTTGGTTCTGATGGCCATGAATCGCAGAATTTCTTGCCCTTACTTCAAAGTCATCTGTTTCCCCCCACAGGCACGCGAGCTGATGAAGGCGATGCTAGATGCCAACAGCAACAACGTGGAGAGCCTCCCCCCAAGTGTGTACCCCCTGCTGGACGGGGCGCAACTGGAGGGACAGAAGAACACGGTCTTGGAGAATCTCCTGGCTGAGGCGAAGAAGCAGAACATCGACCTCACAGCTGACCAAGCGGCAGTTTTCCCAGTTGCGGTAAGAGGCGAGGGCATAGCTCTGTTTCGCTCTTTCTCTTTCTGTCTTTCTTTCTCTTTCTCTTTCTATTTCTTTTTTCTCTTTTCGTTTTCTCTTTCTCCTTTCTTCTCTCTTTTCTCTCTCTCTCTTCTCTTTGTCTTCTCTCTCTCTCTCTCTCTTCTTTCTCTCTTCTCTCCTCTCTCTCTCTCTCTCTCTCTCTCTCTCTCTCTCTCTCTCTCTCTCTCTCTCTCTCTCTCTCTCTCTCTCTCTCTCTCTCTCTCTCTCTCTCTCTCTCTCTTTTCTCTCTCTCTTTCTGTCTGTCTGTCTCTCGTTTCTCTCTTCTCTCTCTTCTCTCTCTCTCTCTCTCTCT